TAACATATAACAAAACTTTCAGTAAAAGACATCGTCTTCCTTCATTCCTTACCAACATTTTAAATTTATTTATAGAGTTTAAACCTAATGTCTAGTGTTCATGATCTCTTCATGAATAATTATTAATCAAACAAGGAATATAACTATGTCCAATATCTATTAACCAAGGACTTTACATCATTAGGTGTATATAATATATTATCGCACATAAATTGATTTATCATATTATCTATTTGAAATATTGAAAAAAGTTGTGTTATTTGGTTTGTTAATTTTGAAGAATTACATCACTTTGGTTACGTTATTATTCATTATTGATTATTCTGTATTGTTGTAAATCCTGTATTGTTGTAAATTTTCATATTTTTATTGTTATACAAGAAAAAAAATTAAAATTGAAATATTTTCTTCAAATTTAATTATGTATTTATAATGCTTTGGTTAAATATGCTAATATAATAATTAAGTTTTAAAATTTAATACTCATTATATGTGGATAGTATTTTCTTTATGTATATGTCAAACTATTATACTTTAAACTTTTGTTAAGCATAAGAGATAATCTTAGGTTTTTAATATTTAATATAAAAATTAATCTAATGTTAATTAATTTTGTGTTAAATCTTTGACTGTCTTATTTCATAATTTGAAAACATTACAAATTTCGCAAAATATTATAGAACAAGACATAATTTCGAAACACTAATAATATAATAATATTTTCTCAAATGACCCACAATCATGTTTATACATAAAGTAAATTTTTATTTGAAATATGTAATTATTGATCAAATTTAGATTAATTCAATTGAACCAATAAAAAATACACGAGACAGTTGTTAAAAGTTTATACAATTTGATCAATAAAAGGTGATAGATGTTATTGTTATGTTTTGTTCTAAGATCTATTATTTATTTATGTGTATTTTTGAATGGAGAAAATTTACATGTTTAGAAAAATACATATTTTTAGTCATTGACTAGATATACAATTTTTTTTTTAAGAAATGAATGTAAAAAAACACTACATACAACATAAATACAATTAAGATGATAACCAATGTAGTATATCTCAATTTCTACATCGAGTGTGAAAATAACAAGTAAAAAGTGATATTCTAAATTAGTTTTGTAAAATTAGTTGACATAAAAAAAATGACATTAATTGTATATGAATTTTGTGGTTTAAGATAGGTGAGATGGAAACTATATACACTCTATTGAATTGACGAAGTAGAGTCTCACTTATTTCACAGGTTAAAAATCAATGTTACAATTCTCAATTTTGTAGGTTGATAATATTTACATTAGTTCATCAATTCCTTTAAAGTATAAAAAATATAATGTAAGATATGTTATTATAATTGTGATAATTTTTTATAATAGAAATATAATTTAAAAAAAGTGTGAACTATTTTGAAATATTAATAGGATTTGTTATACGATGTGATGATGTAATTACAAAAGTAGTAAAGTGAATGATATTGAATGGATGATAGATTTGAGTAGGTTTTATATTGGTGTAGAGAAGTGTACAATGTATGGATAGATAGGTTTGCATGGCTAGATTTCGTTGGTAGAAGAATGTATTTTGATTATATAAAATAAAAAGAAGATGAGAGTGATTTAGGTTATAATAATGATGAGAAAGAAAGAAGAGGAAAGGTGAAAGTGGGTGATGGGAAGTGAAATAGGTCGATGGCACTGATAATTCCCAAAGCTCACATAAAGTCAATTATAATTTTAGACTTTCTACAGCCTGGTTAATTACTACCTATAACTAGCCTTCACTTTCATTTCTACTCTATTCTTCTATTGCTTCCAAATTCCCTTCGTTATCACCACTTGCTTAAACAAAAACAAGAGAATCAATTAATTACTCGCTAACAACTCACCTAGCTAAAGCTGTCTAATTAAACACTCTCTTTTCACCTTCCTCTCTCATTCACACCTTCTTTTTAAATTCC